AAGCAAAACACTAAAAAACAAAACTTTTTTTTTCTGTCCCAAGGTATGCTTAAATTTTAGAAGATAAGGAAATGAACAACAGTAAATTGTTATCATTACATGATTTCTATTCATTTATTTTAATCATTGACTGTTTTAACTTTCTATCTGAGCAGCAATTTAATAAATATATTGTGCTAAGCAAAGATTGGGTTAGGGGTAACATTCCATTTTCCGACTCTATTGCCTTAATATTCACTTTATAAATCACTGTAAAATTCAACATAAGAGAATAAAAGTAAAGCAAAGTTTATTAAGTCACATTTTTTACTAGCTTTTTGATTCTTGTTTTATTATTTCACTAATTATAGATTTCCCTTAATTTGTTTTACCACTTGTGGCCTCTACATCTCTTCTGATACTATTCTACTCTATTCTTCTCCGAGGAAAACAATATCTGATTTTCATTGATTATTATTCTCACGTATGTTTTTATATTTTTATTGCAAACAGGTGATTCTATTAACTCCATGGAGTCCTGTTATGGTGCTGAAAGCTAATGCACTGTACTGCAAGATCAGTTTGAACCACAAGGTTGTTAGTTCAAATACACCAGTCATTACTTGGACACCCTACAGGGTTGATATGTGTCAGAACCAACTAGATGGCACTTAGCAGCAACAACAACAACATTAACTATAAATTTTTATGTTTGTTTTAAGATTATTTTTTTTTGGCTCTATTTTTACATATTTAAAAATATATTCCTATTCTTGTTGTTGTTGCCAAATGACATAGAGTTGGAACCGACTCATAGCGACCCCATGCACAGCAGAACGAAACAATGTCCGATCCTGGGCCAACCTCACTACTGCTGCCACACGTGAGTCCATCAATGCTGCCACCTGGCCAATCCATCCCATTGGGGGTCTTCCTCTTTTTCTCCGACCCTCCATCTTACCAAGCATGATATCCTTCTTCAACGACTGTTCCCTCCTGACAATATGTCCTCAGTCTGTGCTATCGCTTTTAGCCATCTTGGCCTCTAAGGAGCACTCTGCTGCACTTCTTCCAAAACAGATCTATTGGTTCTTTTGGCAGTCCATGGCACTTTCAGTATTCTTCTCCAACACCACAACTCAAAGACATCAATCCTTCTACGATCTTCCTTATTCACTGTCCAGCTTTCGCATCCATATGAGGTTATTGAAAATACCATGGCTTGGGTCAGGCGCACCTTAGTCCTCAAGCTGACATCTCTGTTCTTCAATACTTTAAAAAGTTCCTGTGCAGCAGATCTGCCCAATGCAATACGTTGTCTGATCTCTTGACCGCTGCTTCCACGAGTGTTGACAGTTGATCCAAGAAGAATGAAGTCCTTGACAACTTCAATCTCTTCTCCATTGATAAGAATGTTGTTTATTGGTTCACTGGTGAGGATTTTTGTTTTCTTGACATTGAGATGTAATCCATATCAAAGGCTGTGCTCTTTGATATTCATCAGCAAATGTTTTAAGTTCTCTTCATTTTCAGCAAGCAAGGTTGTATCATCTGCATAACGCAAGTTGTTAATGAGTCTTCCTCCAATCTTGATGCCACGTTTTTCTTTATAGAACCCAGCTTTTCATATAATTTGCTCAGCATACAGGTTGAATAAGTATGGTGAAAGAACACAACCTTGTCACACACCTTTCCCAATTTTAAAACATTCAATGTTCCCATGCTCTGTTTGAACAACTGCCTCTTGGCCCAGGTACAGATTCCTCAGAAGTGCAATTAAGTGTTCTGGAATACTCATACTTCACAATGTTGTCTATAGCTTGTCATGATTCACACAATCGAAAGCCTTTGTGTAGTCAATAAAGCATAGGTAAACATCTTTCTGGTATTCTCTGCTTTCAGCCAAGATCCATCAGACATCAGCAATGATATCCCTCATTCCACAGCCTTTTCTGAATCCAGCTTGAACCTCTGGAAGTTCTCTGTTAATGTATGATTGTAGCAATTTCTGTATTACCTTTAACAAAACTTTACTTGCTTGAGATATCAAAGAGATTGTCCGATTATTTCCGCATTCCGTGCAATCACTCCTCTTTGGAATGGGCACAAATATGGATCTCTTCCTATCAGTTGGCCAGATAGTGATCTTCCAAATTTCTTGACATAGATGAGTGAGTGCCTCCTGCACCTCATCACTTTCTTGAAAGATTTCAATTTTTATTCCATCAATTCCTGGTGCCTTGTTCTTTGCCAATTCATTCAATGCAATTTGGACTTCCTCTCTGAGTATCATTGGCCCTTGATCATATACTACCTATTGAAATGGTTGAACATTAACTATTTCCTTTTGATACAATGACTGTGTATTCCTTCCATCTTGTCTTGATGCATTCAGCATCATTCAATAATTTGCCCAGAGAATCTTTCAGTAACGAAATTCGAGGCTTGATTTTTTCCTTCAGTTCCCACAGCTTGAGAAATGCTGACCATTGTTCATCCTTTTTGTTTCCTATTCTAAATCACTCAAAAATAATAAAATTTCATTGGATGATTATAAAACACTTTAAACATATCTCTCTGATGGAACTTTGTAAAATTTCCACTACATTGCTGTCCCTAGAACTATTACATGAATGGTTCATCACTTACCTCTTGGCACATATAGAATGTTCTCAGAGGTTTGTAAATATGCTTCTGTGAAAATATGCATACTTTACTTTTTTCATATATTGGCAAGTTGCTCTCAGTAGTACCAGTTCTCACTCTTGTCAGTATTCTATATTAGTTTGTTGTAGGTACAAAACTAATAAATTAATTTATCCAATAGTGTTAGGATCTCTCAGAAATTTTTGTTCCATTTTTCTTGAGTCAACATTACTCATTTACAATTTTAGAAAAATTATTTCATTTTATTTGACTTGGAAAAAATGTTCATGGAATCCAATTTCTATTATATGTACTTATATCCTAATTTTTATCCTTTTACCATTTTATTTACTTATTTGATTTTATAATTTAAATGGACAAAGTTTTCTATGGTTGTATTTCATCAGTTAGTAATGCATTCTACAAAATATTTTTGAGTCCTTATTTTAATTGTGTATCAGAATCAAAAATCAATTGTAGCCTATTTGTGAATTATTTTAAATAATATCTAGTACATTTAATTAGATAATAGGCTTTTAAGAGGAAAATATAGTTTTATTTTTCCTTCATGTCATATTTTTAAGAAAATATTATTCATCGAGTTTGAACTTTTTTATGAAAAAAAAAACAACACAAAAAAGAAAATCCTTGACACCTATTCCAATTTCATCGAAGCCTAGATTGGAGTCCTGGTGTGGCTCTTTGGGTAAATGCACCAGACTGCAAAGCTGTTTGAACTGCAAGGTCAGAGGTTCAAGCTCACCAGCTGCTTCTCGGAATCCCTATTACAGGGTGGCTATGGGTCGGAACCGATTCAACGGCACTTCACCTCAACAACAATCTAGCCCAGATTAGAACTGTGCCATAGGATTTCCAAGGCTGCAGATTTTTGCACTAGTAAACTTCCTTGTCTTTCCCTACAGAGTCAGTGGTGGAGTTGAACTGCCAACATTTTGTTTAGCTGCCAGTGTTAACCACTGCACTGCCTTGGTTCTTTACCCTTGATATGCTGTAGTTAAGTGTGATTGAGTTAGTTCCAATTTATAACAACCTTGTATAAGATATCTGAAGAGCAGCTGGTGGGACTGAACCCCCAACCTTGTGGTTAGCAGTCCAGTGTTTATCTTACAGTTATATACCAGAACTCTTACCCTTGTTTTTGCTTTTATTGTTGTTAAATGCCATTGAACCAGACACGACCCATAGTACATTTAATTAGACATATAGGGTTTTCAAGGAGTGACTGGTGGGTTTGAACCACCAATCTTGTGGTTACTTATCCAGTGCTTATACAAATCTTTAATTGTATTTCTCTCTTTCTCTCTGTTGAGGTAATAATAATTTTCTGAATTTTCAACATATTCACGTTCTTTATTTTCATTGTTTATTATATTTTTTGAGATTAACCTATGCTGACAAGTACAAATACAGTTTGTTAATTTAATTTGCTATTGTTTATTTGTGTGCATGGATTAACTTTCTTAGTCTTTCCATTGCTGATGTGTAATGTGAAGTTCTGATGTTTTCCTTCTGGGGCACAACCTTGGTATGTCCACATTCCCCTGGAATGACAGTGATTTGGGCAATGTTGTCAATTTTCCTGACAAAACCTAGTCATTAATTCCACTAATTGCTGGCTAATTGTTCTATTGATTTCAACAATGCAGTGTGGTATAAATTCCTCCACAGACTGATCAGTTAAGTTCTGTGTCTTTTGAAAGGATAGCTTCTCAGGTCAGTTTTTGTGATTTTTTTTTTCTTACTGTAGGATACTACTCTTTCTGCCATATTATTCAATCAAAACTTTAGCTTATATATTCACTAAAACTTTCAATCTTCTCTCAACTTTATTTCACCACAAACGTCACTGTTTTTGGTGAAATGCAATTGAAGGAAGATTGAAAGAGTGTGTTTAGCCTTGAAAAGAATCTTGTTGGCTCTGTTGGATAAACCAGACTGCTTAAGGTCAGAGCTTAAGGTCTGAGCTTTAAAGTCAGAGCTTAAACTCACTATAGACTTTTAGGGAGAAAGATGAGGTGTTCTGTCCTTGTAAAGATTTACAGTCTTGGAAACCCTGCCTAGGGTTGCTGTGAATCAGAATCAACTCCATGGCAATGGGTTTGGGTTTTTTTTTGTTGTTGTTATTGTTCTTAGACTTGAACTTCTCCTCACTTTGTTGTAAATGAAGGGTATTTTTATGAAGAGAGGCTTGGAGCTCTGTTCTCTTTAAAATGCTACTCCCACTGGTCAAAATCTCTTTAACCACAGCTCAGGTGCTCTTGGTGAAGGGTACAAACATACATCCTTCTATGTGATGTATGTTTTGTTTTTGTTTTTTGTTTTTTTTTGAAAGAAGAGCCAGTTTATTAAATTTCTAAAACTTTGCCATAAATTTCTACTGAGTGCCGATGGTCACCTGCCACACACGCATCAGGTTATCTGTGTAGCCAGCAAACAGGGTCTGGCCATCAGCAGACCATGCCAAAGAGGTGCACTGGGGCGGTTCTGCCTTGCTGCTTGTGCTGATAACTTCCTGCTTGAGTTCATCAACGATGATCTTACCCTCCAAGTCCCAGATCTTGATGCTAGGGCCTGTGGCAGCACAGAGCCAGTAGCGGTTGGGGCTGAAGCATAGAGCATTGATGATGTCCCCACCATCTAAGGTATAGAGGTGCTTGCCTTCATTGAGGTCCCAGAGCATGGCCTGGCCATCCTTGCCTCCGGAAGCACAAAGGGAACCATCTGGAGAGACAGTCACAGTATTCAGATACCCTGTGTGGCCAATGTGGTTGGTTTTCAGCTTGCAGTTAGCCAGGTTCCATACCTTGACCAACTTGTCCCACCCTAATTTAGGACTTGAACTGTTGGTGGGAAAGGTGTAGCAGCTCCAAGTCTCCTCAGCTTGATTTTCCTGACATGAAAAAAGTAAACATGATGGGGGTTCCAGTATTCACAGTGGCACCATAACCAAGGTAGAGACTCTAACTCACAGTGACACTATATAGGGTTTCCGAGGAAAAGTTGGTGATTTTGAATTGCCAACCTTAAGCTGCACAGCCCAGTGATGATCCTACAGTCCCAAACCAAGAATCCTAGTGATCTTTTTGTTGTTGTTGTTTTTGTTATGGAACTTCAAATATGTACTGACTCTTGGTGACCATGTACACAACAGAAGGTACACTTTCTGGTCCTGCGGCAACCTCAGAATCATTGTTATATTTGGGCCAATTGTTGCTGACACTGTGCAAGTCTGTTTTATAGGGGTCTTCCTTTTTTTTTTATGTGATTCTCCACATTACCAAGCATCATGTCTTTCTCCAGGGACAAGTTCCTCCTGATAATATATCTAAAATATGAGAGCAAAGTCTAGTCATACTGGCTTCTAAGGAGCATTCAGATTATACTTCATCCAACACAGATTTGTTTGTTCTTCTGGCAATCAATGTTCTTTTAATATTCTCCTCTAACCCAGTAATTCAAATGCATCAATTTTTTTCACAGTTTTCTGTACTCATTGTCCAATTTTTACATGTATATGAGGCAATTGAAAATACCATGGGTTGGGTCAGACACACTTTAAAGGTCTTGTCCAGCAAATTTGAATAATGCAATATGTCATTTGATTTCTTATCTGCTGTTTTCATGAGTGCTGATGGATGATCTGAGCAAAATTAACTCTTTGACATGTTAATTCTTTTTTTATCTTAATGTTATTTATTGGTACAGTGAAGAGGATTCTTGTTTTATTTATGTTGAGGTGCAGCCCATACCGAACATTTTGGTCTTTGATGTTTATCAGTATTTTAAGTCCTTTTCACTTCCAGCAAGCAAGGTTATATCCTTTGCATATCACAGATTGTAAATGAGTCTTCCTCCAGTCTTGATGCCATGTTTATCTTTATAAAATCCAGCTTCTCAAATTATTTGGTCAGCATACAGATTGAATAAGTATGGTGAAAGGATAAAACCTGGCACACAACTGTCTTTATTTTTAACTACTCAGTGTTCTCTTCTACTGTTCAAACAACAGCCCCTTGATCTATGTAAATGTTGCTCATCAGCACAATTATGTATTCCAGGATACTCATTTTCCACAAGGTTGTCTATAGCTCGTCATGATCCACACAATCAAAAGCCTTTGCGTAGTCAATAAGACATAGATAAACATCTGTCTGATATTCTCTGCTCTCAGCCAAGATCCATCTTACATTAGCAATGATAAATCTCATTCCACGTTCTCTTATGATTCCAGGATGAACGTCTGGCTGTACCCTGTCAATGTACTCCTGCAGCCTTTTTTGAATTCTTTTTAGCAAAATTGTATTTGTATGCAATATTAATATTGTCTGATGATCTCTGCATTCTGTTTGATGACCTCTCTTTGGAATGGACACAAATATGGATCTTTTCCAATCAGTTTGGCTAAGTAGCTGTCTTCCAAAATTCTTGGTATAGATGAGTGAGTGTCTTCAATGCTGCCTCAATTTGCTGAAAGATTTCAATTTGTATTCCATCAGTTCTTTGAGCCTTGCTCTTTGCCAATGCCTTCAGCACACCTTGGATTTCTTCCTTCTATATCATTTGCTCTTGATCATATGCTACCTCTTGAAGTGTTTGATCACTGAACATTTCTTTTTCGAACAGCAACTCAATGTATTCCTGCCATCTCCTTTTGATACTTCTGCATCATTCAATATTATCCCAATAGAATCCTTCAATATTTCAAGTTGATACCTTGAAAGTTTTCTTTAGATCCCTCAGCTCAAGAAATCCAGAGTGTGTTCTTCTCTTTTGGTTTTCTAATTCCATGTCTTTGTACATTTCATCAAAATATTTGATTTGTCTTATTTAGCTGCCCTTTGGAATTTTCTATTCAGCTCCTGTACCTCCTCATTTCTTCCATTTGTTTTAGAATTTCTATGCTAGATAGCAAGTTTCAGAGTCCCTTCTGACATTCATTTTGGTTTTTTCTCCTTTCTTGTTTTCTTAATGACATTTTGCTTTCTTCCATTACGTTGTTTTTGGTGTCATCGGACAACTCTTCTGGTCTTTGATTATTAGTGTTTAATGCACCAAATCTGTTCTGGAGTTGATCTCTAAATTCAGATGGGATATATTCAAGGTCACATTTTCGCTTTAATGAAATTGCTTTAATCTTCTTCAGTTTCAGCCTGATCTTGTTCAACTGATGGTCTGATCCACAGTCTGTTCCACAGTCTGCTCCTGCCCTTGTATTACCTGATCCTATGGTGCTTTTACACCATTTCTTTCCACAGTTGTAGTCAATCTGTTTTTGGTGTATTCCATCTAGCAATTTCCAAGTATAGTTTTCTTGCATGTTGTTTAAAAATGGTAATTGCAATGAAGTCATTAGCCTTGCAAAAATGTATCTTGCAGTCTCCAGCCTCATTTCTATCACCAAGGTCAAATTTTCTGACTACTGATCCTTCCTGTTTGCTTCCAACTTTTGCATTCCATTCACCAATAATTACCAATAGAGGTTGATTGCATGTTTGACTGATTTCATACTATAGAAGTTTGTAGAATTATTCAGTTTCATCCTCATTGGCTTTAGTGGTTGGTGCATAAATTTTAACAATAGTTGTTTTAACTGGTCTTCCTTGTAAGCGTAAGGATATTATCCTACCATAAACATAGTTGTACTACAAGATAGATCTTGAGATATTATTTTTATAATGAATGCGAAGCCATTCTTCTTTAATTTGTCATTCCTGGCATAGTAAATCATACGATTTTCATAATCAAAGGCCAATACCAGTCCATTTAAGCTCACTAATGTCTAGTGTATCTATATTTATGTGTTCCATTTCATGTTTGACAATTTCAAATTTTCCTGGAATCATACTTTGTACATTCCATGTTCTGGTCACTAATCAATATTTGCAATTATTTGTTCTCATATTGAGTTGTGCTCAATCATCAAACGAAGGTCCTTAAAGCTTAAAGGCAGTTCTTCCCCAGTCATATTTTGAGTGCCTTTCAACCTGAAAGGCTTGTCTTCCAGCACTATATCTGGCAATATTCTGGTGCTCTTCATCAAATTTCTGTATTCAATATTCTGGTGCTCTTTTAAAGTGTTCCACTGCAAATCATAAGGTTTCAGTGACTAAGTATTCAGAAGTAGCTTGCCTTTCCTTCTTCCTAATCTGTCTTAGTCTGGTAGTCTGCCTAAACTCTATTCAACTCTCGTTGTTGTTGTTAAGTGCCATCAAGTCAGTTCCGACCCATAGCGACCCTGGATAGGTTTCCAAGGAGTGGGTGGTGAGCTTGAACCACCAACCCTGCAGTTCAAATGGCTTTACAATCTGGCACAATAATCCACAACACCACACCAGGACTCCTATCCCACCCTACTGGCACCTAAAATACCAGTGGAATAGCTTTCTTAATCATGACAATACATAAGCTATTACAGCCTGACAAACTGACAGAGGAATGCTGGAGTGAACTTACAGGACAGAACATAACTACTCGGAGTGGTTTCTTAAACTGTAAATCTTTACAGGAACAGACAGCCACTTTTTCTCCCACAGAGCAGATAGTTGGTTTGAACTACCAACCTTGTATTTAACAATCCAACACTATATCACTATGCCACCATGCCACCAGCACGCCTTGAAAGATTCATCGTTGTTGTTAAATGCTATTGAGTCAGTTCTGAGTTTTAAGGAGTGGATGGTGTGTTTGCATTGCTAGTCTTGCAGTGCAGTGCTTTGTCCTACAGTGCCACCCAAAAGGTCATCTTTTTTGTTAAAGATGTGACATTGTTTCTACTCTTAATTGTGTACCTTTGGCTATCTTTTTCTTTTGAACTACAGTTTGTCTTTAATTGCTATAATTTAGGAGATATTTAGTTTTTCATAATAGAATAAAGGTTCATCTGGAAATGTAATTTTGGTAAGAGTTCTCCAAGCATTGTTTTTCAAAATTTAATACATTTACATAGTTGGCAGTTGAGAATTTTGACTAATGAGAACATATGCTGTTGTCAGTATAATAAAAACCTGCTATTTGGAATAAAATCAATTATCAATCCAAATTAATCATCTATAATATCAAGAAGATTATGTAGTACACATTATTGAAAACAATTAGAAATATGCCTGCTACAGTTATAAAGTGTGGCAATATTGTTACCAATGTGAGCAACTATTGGCAAAGCAGATGATACACATACAAAGTAAGCATTTTACAATGGCAATTTTTCTGTAATTAGGGGGATAAGAATATATCAGAGCAAATGTTTTTTAGAGCTTGTAGGGAAAATAATAACACTTTTAAAATCAGCATAATCTTTACTCTTGAATCCTACTTTTTAAATTTTATTTCCTCCAAAGCAAAATTAGGATGTCAAACATCATTTCAGAGAGAAAATAGTCCACATTGTATGCCATGTATCCTAATTTATTCATTGTTATTCTTATGATGTATTTATTAAAGCATAATTATTGGCAGATCCTTAGGAAAATGAGAGGATTGAAGAAGTAGGTAAATTTGAAAGATAGTTGCATTGTTCTGTAGCAATTTTCTGAAATTGTTTTGGCAGTAATATTATTTTTAATAGGTTTATTTTCTGTCAGTAATTACTACTAGCAAGTAGATGTATAAGAGGCAGAAAAGAAGAAAATTAAATACAAGACTGTCATGATCATTTGACTTTCAGAGCTGTGTCCTGAGTTGTTCAGGGTAATTTTTATGTATAAAAACATGTTTTGGAGGTTTAGCATCTTACTTTTTAAATCAATTTGGAAACAAAAAAATTGGATATTTATCTTAATTTACAAAATATTAAATTAGTAATATAAAATCCATGGTTCATTAAAAGTAATACTGTTGCTCTTGCTAAATGCCATCAAGTCGGTTCCTTCTCATGGTGACTCTGTATAGGGTTTCCAAGGAATGGCTGGTGAGCTTGAACTGACGATCTTGTAAGTCAGACTGACTTCAGTCCAACACATTAACCTACAGAGCCACATCAGGACTCAAAAATAATATTAGGCCTCACAGATTCCATATAAGCCAAATGACATTTAGAGTTTAGACAATAAGAGTAACTTTCATTAAAAATAATCGAGTTTTACTAGTCAAAATAAAATTGTTTTGGCTTAGAAACAATGTTTCAAAATAGAGAAATTTAGCATAACAAAAAAGGAAGAGGAAATCTGTAAATATCCATTAATAATTGGAATGTGGAGTGTATGAAGTATGACTCTTGGAAAATTGGAAGTTGTCAAAAATGGAATTTAACTCATAAACATTGATATCCTAAATATTAGAGAGTGGAAATGAGCTGGTATTGGCCATTTTGAATTGGACATTCACAAGGTTTACTCTGTTTGTTGTTGTTAAGTGCATTAGAGACAGTTTAGACCCTTATTGTTGTTGTTGTTGTTAAGTGCCGTCGAGTCGGTTCCGACCCATAGCAACCCTGTACAAGGTTTCTAGACCCTTATAGGAATGATCAATTGAAGAGAAATTGTGTCATATTTGTCATCAAGAAGAACAAATCAAGATTCATCTTGAAATACAAACCAGTCTGTGATAGGATAATATTATACACCTACAAGAAAGACATCTGGTAGCATAGCGGTTAAGAATCGGCCTGTGAACTGCAAGGTCAACAGTTCTAAACTACCAGCTGTTCCGTGGAAGAAAGATGAGGATTTCTGCTCCCATAAAGAGTTCCCATAAAGATTTACAACCTCAGAAACCCTGCTATGAGTTGGAACTGACTACAAGGCATACCACCACCACCACCACCACCACCACCACAAGAAAGACAGGAATACTCACACTTCTCAATGTTGTCCATAGCTTGTCATGATCCACACAATCGAAAGCCTTTGCATAGTCAATAAAGCACAGGTAAACATCTTTCTGATATTCTCTGCTTTCAGCCAAGATCCATCGGACATCAGCAATGATATCTCTCGTTCCATGGCCTCTTCTGAATCTGGCTTGAACTTCTGGAAGTTCTCTGTCAATGTATGCTTGCAACCATTTCTGTATTACCTTTAGTAAAACTTAACTCACATGGGATATCAAAGCTCTTGTCTGATGATTTCCGCATTCCTTTGGGTCACCTCTTTTTGGAATGGACACAAATACGGATCTCTTCCAAACAGTCGGTGAGATAGTTGTCTTCTAAATTTCTTGGCAGAGATGAGTGAGTGCATCCTGTGCAGACTCACTTTCTTGAAAAATTTAAATTTTGATTCTATCAATTCCTGGTGCCTTTCCTTGCCAATTCCTTCAAGGAATCTGTCCCTGGACTGAGGCAGTTGTTCGAACAGAACATGGGAACACCGAATGGTTTAAAATTAAGAAAGGTGTGCAGCAAGGTTGTATTTTTCACCATACTTATTCAACCTGTATGCTGAGCAAATAATCAGAGAAGCTGGGTTCTGTGAAGACAAACGTGGAATCAGGATTGGAGGAAGACTCATTAACAACCTGTGATATGCTGATGATACAATATTGCTTGCTGAAAGAGAAGAGGACTTAAAAGATTTACTGATGAAGATCAATGAGCTCAGCCTTTGGTATGGATTGCATGAGAATGGAAAGAAAACAAAAATCCTCACCACTGAACAAATAAATAACATTCTTATCAATGGAGAAAAGATTGAAGCTGTCAAGGACTTCATTCTTCTTGGATCAACTATCAACACTCATGGAAGAAGCAGTCAAGAAATCACAGGATGTATTGCATTAGGGAAATCTTCTGCACAAGACCTTTTTAAAATGTTGAAGAGCAAAGGTGTCAGCTTGAGGACTAAGGTGCGCTTAACCTAAACCATGGTATTTTCAATAACTTTATAAGCAAGTGAAAGCTGGACAGTGAATAAGGAAGATGGTAGTAGAATTGATGCTTTTTCGTTATGGTTTTGGAGGAGAATATTGAAAGTGCCACGGGCTGCCAAAAGAACCCATATATCTGTTTTGGAAGAAGTGTAGCCAGAGTGCTCCCTAAAGGCCAAGATGGCTAAACTTTGTCTCTCATATTTTGGATATATTGTCAGGAGGGACCAGTCACTGGAGAAGGATATCATGTTTGGTAAGGTGGAGTATCAGAGTAAAGAGGAAGGACCCCTATGAGATGGATTGGTCAAGTGGCAGCATAGATGGTTTCAAGCATGGCAACAGCAATGAGGTTGGCCCAGGATAGTGCAGTGTTCCTTTCTGCTTTGCATAGGGTCACTATGAGTAGGTACCCACTCAATGGCACCTAACAACAACAATAACAAGAAAGACCAGTCAATGCAATTATTACTCATATTTATGCA